TGTGATCAAACCCCAACATCTATTTGCATTAAGAACTTCATTTAGCGTCATAACAAGAAGAGCCCGTACATCACCCAGAAATTATTACCAAAATGGATATAACATTTCAGCTGCTACTGTTGAGTAATCCCCGAGTGTAAACAGTAATATCTCACTGTGAAAATATCATAAGACTTCTGCATTCGTGTAATGTCACCACATCCGACACTTTCGACTAGCAGCGACGAGTGCACTTGTAGCTTTTGCCCTTATATATGGAATAAAAGCCCTTTACGCTTTCAAGTTGTATACGTTGTTATATTGGCATCCCTCTGGACGTGTCTCAAGTGCCAAGAACCGAGTGAAAAGAGACAGACACGGTCGAGTGTGTTACTAGGAGGTTTGTGGTTGGTTTTCTCCACGTGAGGCGTATTCAAACATCACAAGGGGCCACCTGTCCAACAAACTTCATTGCAATCGACCATCCTCCTCAACTATCCTTTAATATATTTTCTACGTCGGTTTCCATGTAGATTCAAGCCACAAAAGCTCTTGCTCATTTTACTCTCCCATTGTTTGGTGGAAAAGTGGAGCAGTGGAGATGATTTTTCTTTCTATTCTCTTCAAATTACCGGAAATAGAGCACTGTAAAGTCTTCCTTGGTTGTGCTCCGTTTCACCGAAGTTTTACTATTCTATTTACGATAGTCTCAAACGAAGATAAATATTGAGCGGAGGTGGAATTTCACGGGAATACATATACCCAACTTCTCACATGGAGTTGCACGAGTAATATCTATTTTCCACTGATACGAGCCACATTTTATTGTTTCCCGTGTTATTGGGGATGGATGAGAGGGATTTTATACCGGAACCCATGTGAATTCACGGATTTTAGGGATCCCAGTGTCATAAATGCGATACAATTCAGCCGGAAAAGTAATTTTTTATCACTCAAATTGAATACAAATGGGATACTATGAGGGATTTACGTGGTCTGACGCTTCGACTGCTGCACAGGGTGTGGAACAAGTGTAGTGTAGCAATTGACACAAATCATCAGTCGATTCTGAAAGGGGAAGTTGCGTCCCTAGGAATTTCAATTAATCAGGAGTACTTTGGGAAGCTTGATAGTGACGAATGGCACGTGTGCATCGTGAAGCTTTGTCGCTCAACTCGTCTCATCTACCCATTCTCGTGGACACCTGAGTGGAGAGCGTTTAAAGGGCATCACGTTCCCGCTTTACCAATCCAACCGTCCCTGATTGAATGAAATGGCCGGAGTGCATTGGCGCTGATAGTGAGCTTCCAGGTTCAGTGGATGATGTAAATTAAATTTTGTTTTCAGATGGAAAATTTAATTGAATTCATTGATGATTCTGAATGATCTAGATTCGGTTGTCAGGCCGACCATTCTAAATGGAGGCATTTATGTCTAGTTTGTTTTTCTTTCTAACAGTGAGTTGTTGATATTTCGAAGCCGGTTTTTGAATGACATTGATCGATTATCGAGTCCCGAGTCGACCGCCGTAAAGGTCGGACGTGTTTTGTTCACGCTCCGGCGATTCGGTCCGCCCCTAGCCCAAACAGTTTTAAACCTGGCATTATAGTCATTTTCCACGAACTTTGAATATTGCTCCGGAAATACTCGTAACCCCTGTGTTAATCGATATTCTTCCAATTTCTATTCTTCACGTTTGTGGTGAACGAAGTGTAAACTTTTCACAATGTAATATTTTATGATGAAACTATCTGGTAGACGGGAAAAAAAACAGAAAAAAATATCACACTAAAACCCACCGAAATAAACAATTTTCCTGGGTCTATTTTTTCTGGGATTCATGTTGCCGAATTTTCCGAAAAAAAACGTTGAATTCGATTTAAGGGAAAAAAGTCGATGGAATTTCAGGTTTGTCTGAAAAATTAAGTGAATTGCCAATTTTTCGCCAGTAGGAAAGTCGAAGTTCCACAATTTACATAAATTTTCAAATCAAAATAAATATTCGGCGAAATTACCTAGAACTTTCAGGGAATTCTTTTAAAATTCTTGGAATTCCAAGAATTTTTGAAGAAACACCCTGAAAATTCTGGGGAATCTGGAATTCAAGGATAGTTTTATCTGAATTATCAAAAGTTTTCACTAATATTTCCGGATTAATTAAAGTAAAATTTACAGTTCCCACGGATTTTTTCATGAAATTGTGAATTTTCACTGACTAAATTCCTTGAAATTTCAGTGGACATGTCACTTGTTACAAATTTGCCTGACCCCGAAAGTTCAGAAGGAAAATTTTAAAATCAGAGAAAAATTTAAGAATGAAGAAAAATCTTGATTCAAAAACTCTTCTTACATGAAATAAATGAGTTTTCATCACTTGCATATAAAGTAAAATTTTATGTATGCTCCGCGTGCGTAGATAGTATGTTTCCATACGAGTGCGTGATTTGTCAAAGAACACTTTTCCCACGAGTTTCGAACCCTATTTTTCATCACAATGTGTGAAAACTTATTCACTTTGCGCACAAGTGATGAAAATCCCATTTCCATAGATTGTAATGAAAAATAGGATTCGACAGTCGTGGGAAAAGTGTTGACGCACCTCCCACAAGTCAAAAACCATTCTGACACACTCATCTCGAAATATACGATTTTTTTGCCAAATTAAGTAACCAGTTTCTTATTCTAACGAATGCTCTCTAGAAAGTTACTGAAAATCAATAAATTATTTCCGAAAACCGGAAACTTTTTCCCTGTCCAAGATAAGAACTAATCATCATCAAAGGTCATTCCAATAATCAAGTATATATGCATCGCACCAAAATCTGCATTCAAATTCTGATGAAAATCACTGGAAAATGTCTTAATTGATGGGAATGAGCCAGCTGTTACTGTAAATGGAGAATCCCGTTGACACTCGCCGGATTATCTTAATGCTCCCTCGACAGCCCCTTATACAGCAGTGGGGTATAGCAAGAGGGGTCTCGCTGACGGATCCCCCGGTTGATACTAGGTAGGAAGACGTCTTTCGACAGACGATTACCCTCTTCTCGGCCGAACTCATGTGAATAAGCCAGAGCTTAATCGATTCAGCCTCTCGTCTCTCAACGAGCTTGTCACCGAGTTCATTCATACGTAATGATAACAGCGATCATCATCCTGATACTTTCACTATAACAATAGCAATAGGTCCTTGCAAGCCAGTTCAATAAATGAAAATACAGAAAAAATTCTAATTTAGCAGTTGCTGCAATATTAAAAAATTTATTGCAGGAAGACCAAAAGTCATAACGCAGTGGGGTGAAATGGAATAGGCGCCTCTCTCGAAACCGATGGTTGGTGCGTGCAAACGACAGCGGCCGGTAGCCATTTTCATAAATTTAAACTCCCCCCCTGGCGTTCACTCTCGGCTGTTTCAACGGGTAGCACTGTCCACCAACGGCATTTCAGTTACAATTTTTACTGAACTGTCTCCACGTCCCTCGCACTACTGCCTCGCAACGGAGAACGTTGAATCGCGTGGTTGGATCGTCAAAAACAGAAAATACTGTGAAAGAACACGAACAAAAATTGAAAAATGAAAAAAACAAATTGATGAAACCAAACTGAAACCTGTCGGAAATTTCGCGATGCTCATATGCACAACAGCACTGATGCATGAGGTAGTTTCAAAACTGCCGGGTATTGGAAACAATCGTGAAATTACATCAGACTGCTGATGATAGAGAACTGGATAAGGATTTAACGGATGGGTGAATCGATTGAGAAATGAAAATCACGATTGCACAAGGAATCAGGAAACTTATCTGCGAGGGAAGTCACATTGTCGCGGGGCTGCATCTAGCCGAGGTTGGTTGCCATTACTTGGATTGCCGAGGCTGCATTTAGCCCCGGAGCAAATCTACAACCGCGCTCAGTTGAGAGTAGCTGTTAAGATTGGGTGGAAGGAGAGCCCACAGCTAAGATGTAACTCGCGTCTGGTTGTGGCATACTCTCATCGGGATAATGCACGTTTAAGTGGATGTTACGTGCATGTCGTAGTCCTGCGATCTATCAATCTTGATTTTGGTACGTAAGATAAGCTGAGTAGGGAATGGGTTAGGGTCGGAAGATACTTGCTATCTTGTTGTCTGAAGTGAAATGCGCCGGAGAGAGCAACCTGTCTGCTTTGTTGATGTCCTTCTAACTTGTGTCGTACATATTCCAGTTGGTGAGATCGATACAACTTCGAGTTGAGTGATTGCTCCGACAATTTGTGCTGATGAAAAATGACGGATAATTGCATTTGCCAACTTGAAAACTTAATCATACCTGATTTATGGTTTTTCATTACATGTCCAACCATAATTCATAACATCGTTATATTCAAATGTGATAAGATCCTTGGAGATGGAGAAGACATTACTAATGAAATACTGGAATGTCGATTAGATTTGGAGAACAGTGAATTCCTCACTGACGCAGTTGCACACAGTTACGGGGGTAGGTACGGAGTAGATGTAGCTGAGGGAAGATGGCAATGCTTCCCTTAAGGGAATGCGATTTAGTTACTGCGATGCGTAGATTCAACAGTACTCAAGATATATGGCGGACGAGGACCAAGAGAGAGAGAGAGAGAGAGAGAGAGAGGGGTTAAGAGATGGGTGAGTATGTACTAATACACCTGGTTCAGCGTCTCACACGATCTTGATTGCATTAGATGCCTTGATTAAGTATTCGTTTTGTATTGACGATGGTACGGATGCACTAGCGAAGTCTCTCTGAGTAATTTTCCATTTGAGACGTCATGCTGGTAACCTGCGCCTCGGAGGATTTAACTGGAGGATTAAATTACTCACTTGAATTTATGAATTTGTGATTCGCAGATCGTGACATTCGTGGTGCGCCGGTTAATCTTCTTTAATTAATCAAAAAAGTTTTTTGTCTTTCTTTTTATCAAACAACTGAGTCTAGAAACATTTTATTAAATCCTTGGGTAACTTCAACAGTAGAAAAAGGAACGAAAAAAAATAAAGAAAATGGGGAAAGTTACTTCAACTTTAATTGATTGAATTGTTCAAAGTCGGTACTACACTGACTTTGCTCAACGAATATACTCCGATATCGACAGCCTCCATTTCTCCGGGCTTCCTCTTATTTTCTTCCTCCCTTCGCTTTACAAATCCTTCACTGAGCATTGTCTGTATTTCCGCTAAGCTCTTTCCTTCTGTTTCTGGCACATATACGCAAATCAAACACCAGATAACAAAAGTGATCACAGTCAGTTGCCACATTGCTGCAAAAGTCCCGAGTGTCTCAAACAGTCTCTACAAAATCATAAAAAGCAAATCAAATTAATAAAACGAATTACGAACAAAATTGCATCAACAAAATTACCTGATAAATTTCTATAGTCACTGTAGTTGTAACGGCGTAATACAAAACGGCGCAGACCCCAGCAATGACCTTCAAATCAATTGAGAATAATTCTCCCAAGTAAGCTATTGGCAGTGGATTAAATGCAAAACCAAAGACGACAATGTAGATGATGATGAAAACGCTGGGAATCCAGTTGAAAGCCTTCATATCGACTCCATGTTCCAAAAGTGTAAAGAAGATTGATAGAACAGCGAGAGAACCGAAGAATGGTGGACCCGACACTAGAAGGAGTCTCCTTTTTCCGGTGAATTTAACAACAGCCATGCAGACAATTCCGGAAATGACGACAGCGACTCCCGTTGCAATTATGGTGAAATCTACACCATCGAATTCCGCCTGCTTGACGATATGTGACTGAAAGGAGAGGATGGGCGCTGCACCAGTTACGCCAATGGCACTGCTCAGGATGAGTTGGATCCAACAGGCTCTCCTATTAGCAGGGCATTTGGATGCTTTCTTCAGTGTAGCGAAGAATCCAATTGCCCTCGTCTTATCCTCAACGGAGACAATTCGTTTCACTTCCTCGAATTCCTTCTGCACGTCTTCCTTGCCAAGTGTCCACTTGAGGACCTCTTCCGCACGGTCCAACTGATTCTTCTGGGTGAGATATACCGCGCTCTCGGGTAGCCATATAAATGATATGATGAATAGTAGAGGACCGACGAGGCTGATCATCGCCATCATGAAACGACTCACACAGAGGCCAACTGTGTAGATGAATAGGATTCCTAGGTTGAGGGAGACGGCATTCATCGTACCGAGAGGTCCCCTCGTTCTTTTGCTGCTGATCTCTCCGATGTACATCGGGACCACTGTGTACGAGATGCCACAGCCAATTCCTGCTAGGACTCTACCGAAGCACAGAGTATTGGGGCTGTTAGCCAGACCTATAGCAATCCAGCTGAAAACTTTGGGTAGAGCACCAAACAGCAGGGTAAATTTCCTCCCAATTCTATCCATGGAGATCAACGGCATAATCGTACCAATGCCCACGCCCAGGTACATCACACTCAGCACCAACGCCTCTTGACTCGACGTCAACGTGATTGGATCGTCTTTTCCGAATTTCCCAAGAGTCGGGGTGGGCCATCCTTCATGAAGACCGCAGTCAAAGACGAGAAAATTGCCTGAAGGTAAATCCAATTTATTATTCCAACAATCCATCAAATTCAGACATAAAACACAAGTACTCACAAACTAATCCTATAACAAACTGATGAAAAATCTCGAGATCCATTTTGGGTTGCGTGATTCAGACGATTGACATTTCCGCTGAAACATAATTTCCTTCATCAAACACGCCCGAACTTGGTGAGGTATTTCTTCAGCAAGTGAGTCGAACTTGGACGGTCGTTAAATGTGGAAGACAATTTCCGTTGGGGATCGAGAACTAGAGATTGAACAATACCATTGCAACCGAATGCTGAATTTGGCGCTGAGGGAAGTGGTGGCGCTGTCCCGACAGGACGTGATCGTCAAGGTTGGCCTGACACGAGAACAAGCGAGAGATAGAGAGAGAGGGGCTAAGACCGACTCCCGGATTTCAATGACCCCACCCACCGGGTGGGCTGAAGGGTTTAGTTACAGATATACCGAGTCGCGGAGTTCGCGCTGGTCAGATGCACTGGTCAACGTGGCAAAGGGTCAACACTAACTAGATTCCTACCCACATATCTCTTGGTTGGGACGCGCGATGCTACATAACGTGGCCCTATCTGACACGCATGGTTGACGGTACGAATCTACTTGGTACACTGTGACGAGTGGTACTGCACTGCTGTCCTTCTCTAAACTGTATCAACTGCCATCCACTCATTCACTCGAAGCTCCCCCTTCCTCCGACACGGCTTAGGCAAGGTCCCACACAGTGTGACAGTTATGACCTGAGCAATACAATGTTACGTTAGTATTAACGCGGCTGCGGCCCCCCAAACTGCCGAGCTGTGGACTGCCTTAACTTGGATTTACGATGGCCAAACGTACACCGCGAGTACAACAATTTTAATGCTCATGGATATCGTCGATTGGTACACACCGATAGAAATACCATATAGGTAATTGCGACTGCCCGAAGAGGAAAGTGTTGCCATTAAAGAAGGCAAATAACCAATAATAGAAAGAGACATTTATGGTTTCGTGCCCGGGTAAACGACATCAGATCGTTCTAGATTGATGACATCCGCGCTGGAATCCGGTACAATGGCTTCATACCAGTTACGACTCGCTCTCCACTGACCCCAAAAATCATGTCATCAAAACAAAAAAAAAAAGATTCTCAAAACAATTCGCAGAATGGAGCAGCTAAAAATTCATCTCTTGTCAGAAGCGTTATTGAAACGAGGACATTAGTACATGATGATCAGAGTTGAGTAGAAGAGTGGGAAATTCCTAACGGTACTTGCTGCATATAAAACTATGAATACCAGTGAAACCCTGGCCTCCTATCTCCCAGTGGAAACTTAGCTTAGGTTAAATCGCTTGATTCCCCTGGAGTTGTGGTAGAGAGGGGAAGTGAGTTGAGTTCTCTCTCCCTACGAATCGTGCTTCCTCGTTCGAAATACTAATTAAGCAAAAAGTGGGGCTCGCTACGTGCCTCTGATTCACCCGGATACCTCCTTCCTCGCTTTCGTTGTACTCGTGTTCGTTTCCTTGGAAATGACCCTCGTTGTCATTGTCGAATGGCATAGGCGATCTCTGGGTGAAACGCGAGAGAGGATGAAACGCTAATTTTAAGCCAACTGAGTTTAATCGGTGCTTGTTGTTTAACCACTAATTAACGCGTCAAAACTTACTCAACCAAGATTGGGTAAAACTGATTTTTCCCTGTAATTATCAGTGATCAACTTTGGTAGATTGGTGAGATAATGATGATTGAGATAATGCTTTAGATAATGAAACTTGTGATGGTGTATCCTTCAGTCCTTTCAGAAGTATATCTGTCACTTGTGGAAGTGAACGATGTGCACTGGAAAACTTTGGTGAACACAAACATGGTTCTTCCATTTCGCAAAGAACGAACTAGAAGGTATTTTTCCACATTTTGGTCAGCCATGACTCGTCAAAGTCGAAGGTTTCCCGAGAAAATCTCAACAGATTGCTTCCTAAAATGGCAAGGTAGTATTTTTTTTCCATCCTCTGTGTTATTCTATTGCCACGCAGACTGGATACTCGCGGTCAAGGTAAATGCGGTAATCGCGGAGCTATTACGATGACGGTATAATGCTATGTGATGTTCCTCACAATGAGGGAACTTCGATTACTTCATATCCTTGATCAATCCGCGATAATCACGGGAAATCGCGAGCGTTTATTCATGCTTCTATCATATGGGTTCCATGACTATTTAACAAAAACAAATTCAACACACAAATTAACCACGCAGTAACTCTACACAAGCCAACTCAACACGCGACATTTCAACATGAAACAAACTCAACACATAGGTAATTCAACACCAAACAAGTTACAGCATAAATTCAACAAAACGTTCGCTCGAAAAATAGTTGCTAACTTTATTTGCAATGCAGTGCTGGTCTCAGCAAGAGCCTTGCATTTCAATTTTGTCCCATAATCAACGCACCTCTATTGCACTTCATCATCACATTCACGCAAAAGATTATAAATGTATCCATTACTCGTCAATTGTCGTTTGCCTCTTTGGCTAAGCACGAAATGGAGAGGCATCGTTCAAACCGTGTAATCAGGGCTGTACCTCAAATCGTGCTGACAACGCGAAGATTACAAACAACACAATAAATGCCCAATTCTACCGGACGCACAGAATATAAATCAATAAATTCCGTCAACAGGCATTTAAGTTTGTTTTGATATTTATTCCGATTGACACAGGCAAGTCAAGGACTCGCTCGTGTTTTCAAATTACCGTGGAATGAAAATATAGGTTACCGCGCAAAATAGACGTGCTCAATAAACTATGTGCTCAATAAACTATGAGCTAAATGAACTATGTGATGAATACACAATGTGTTGAATAAACGATGTGTTGAATTGTCCAGTTGTTAAAAAATATTGTGATCAATTAACGATATGTTGAATTGATGTGTTGTGATGAATTTGCATCGTGAAAAATAGTTTGGCCACCATCATATGTGTTACTCAATGGTAATTAAAGCTGACGTTAATTAGAGCCGGGACTCTCTTGCATTTAATGGTGACATATGTTAAAATCAGTTTTACCAGGTGTTAATTGTATGAATGACAGCTGTCTGAAAAATCCAGTAATTGGAGTGCTCCTTCATCAACTCCAAATCATTTTCGAAGAGAGATGAATTACTGGATCTCCATCTGCAGATCTCAATGAGATTTACACTCAATATTATCACAGGGATTTAACCACTCGTTGAGATCTTGATCCACTTACTTAATACTATTTAATCCCTCTGAATTATCACGATGATATCAATCACAGGAGCTAGTTTTCACAGAGTTAACTCAGTCCATCCGAGAGGAAAAAAAATTCCTGGATTAATGCACGACCAAGTGAAAAACGAAGACTGAAGTCCGTATTCTACAGATTAGGATTCAGCCGTAAGTACCGCATATCAAGTCGTTTAGTTTGTATACATCAGTGAAGCCAATGGCACTGGATGTGTCCCCTCCTCAGTACTTTTCCCCCTTCTGAATTTTTATTCTGCCTTCATTACAACTTCTCAAACATAATGTATGATTCATATGTTGATGGCTTGTCGTTGATTAACTAGCTAGTCATCTTCACGTGGTTTTCATGGTCAAGATCATGAGCAAATGTGATTTACATCGATTTCCAGGTCACGGCATCGTACCACGAGAGGTAGTGAGAAATTATCAGATGAGTTTCTCACATGTTTTGTCTAAAAAGTTGCAGAATTATGTTGAGAAATCGGAGTGAGAGTTCAATTTTACGCACATTTACTTGGATACGAATCGTAAAGACTGACAGACATTTATCGCAAATGTTGTGAAAGACCTTAGACCTTACGTACAGGATTTAGTCAGAAGTTCATCACGCTCGGCATCACGACATCATGCGGCCTTGCGTGAACATTTTCAACTCTCTTTAGCATCTTCAAGAAAACTTCCTCTATTGTAACTCCGATAATTCTAGATAACAGGTGTGAATGCGGATATTTATAATCCAATATTCATGCACGAGGTCATTGTACTCACGATAATTACGCTGACGCATAAAACCAGGGTGATTATAAGTTCGAGAGATACAATGGAGGAAAAAATATCAAGCGAATGTCTTGAGATAGTGAATTTTAATGGAATCGGGAGAAATATTTTTTGTTCTAATGTTATACTTGTGTCCCCCGGTGGGCGCTCTGCATTTATCGGAGCAGTCGTGCGAAACGGCTGTAAAGTCTCAAAGTGCGAAGATAGCGAGAGATCGTTGCTTCAAGAGGACAAAAAGAAAATCTACAAAGTATATTTGCATTTACATTCAGTAATTAAACGGCCACCCCTTTTCCTTCATAAATTTTAACTTATTAAAATCCGTGATTTCTCGGGAGGAGAAAAAGTTAATGACACATTTACATATTTTTGGGGAGAACATTTGCCCCGCGCATTCAATTCCCGGGATAAAATTGCAAATAAAAAAAACTAAGGATGGAATAGTTTTTTTCGTGTGAATCATGGTGGCGTTAAAAGTTTCCATAAAACTTTTTACTACTGCACGTAGAAAATAGAAAACATTATGGAGCAGAACCTCTCCCCCAAGTCCAAAAGACTACACCTTTTTCAATCAACGGATCGATATCAATGTGCGCAGTGTGTGGTTATAAAAATTCAATTTGGAATCGTTAGCTTTCTTTTTTTTTCATGGAAAAAAGATCCAGAACTTGTTTAGGTATTTCCAAACTTTGAAGTTTAAAATCTCGAGTGAAGGGGAGCGAAGGCGTAAGGGATGGAGTAAGACGAGAGAGGAAGAGGGTGGAAAATGTGTGGCCGAAGAACAGAGAACGGGGTGGAAAAAAAAACATTATGAAAAAAGATGAGGGGGTTTGGTGTGTGCATGGTTGGGAGTTTTGGAAGTTAGTTGCGATTTACTCGGCATACCTGCCGTTTATTATGTATGCCACACAGTATAGGTACCTAATATCGGGCCTGGGGTGGAAAGTTGGCCACTGGAGACCTCCCGAAGGATATAAAAATACGACGGGAGACTTGGCGAGACGATGGTGAAGCCGGAAGGAGAAGGGGGAGAGGGAAAAAAAGAGGAAATATAGAGCAGAAAAGATGGTGAGTGGGTGGAAGGGAGAGAAAAGCTGTTGGGGAAGAGCTGTAAAATGAGAAATGCATGCCGAGAGGGTACAGGGGAGGACTCACCGTCGTGGGAGTCGTAGAGGTAGATGATTTTCTTCCAGCCATAGTGTCGCACCGTGTCGATGATGGCACGATGGTAATCCGGGCGCATGCTTATGGCAAAGTCGAGAAAACCCGAGGACGGCGTCAGTACCTGCAATCACAAATTCCATCTTGATTTTCTTCGGAAAATGGGGTGGGGGAATTCTCGTATTTTGCTGTGATTTTCAGACGCTTCGATGGTTGATGTACGTGGAGAGGAGTGGGTTTTTTTTTGGGGGGGAGGGGGGAATTTTAATGCTGGTATAGACTTTTTTAAAATCAGTTTCTTCTTAGCTACACGAAAAAATATACTTGATTCAAGTATATTTTATACTCAATTCAGGTTTTATTTTTTCGTGTAAATTTACTTTTTTCATTAATTAGTAATTCTGTTAGCGCTTATTTCAAATAATCTAGTACATTGTGAATGGATTATTGTAAGTATAATGAAAATATCCTGTATTTTATTTTTGGTCCTCTAGAAGAATTCCTCGATGCACTGTCAGATGAAAATAGGTTTTTCAGGCATAGTTGAGTGAGAACTTTCAGGTCAGTAGAAGTCTTGAAATCACGCAGAATTTTTAATCAATTGAATATTTAACAAAATATTTACCGGAGTTTCTCTGATTTCTATTAATTTTTGTAGGATAACTGAACGAACATTCAGATTTACCGATGATTTTTTCATTATATCGTTAATTTTCAAAGAAGAAATTTCAGTGAAACTTTCACTTGATGAAAATTTAGAAGTGCTACCAACAATTTCCCGTGGAATTAATGATCAAATATACAGATTTTCACGTAAAAAATTTGCGAATTTAACTCTCCAATTTAGTAATCCAGAATTAAATAATTTGGGCCTCTACTCTAGTGCCATGATTTTTCCCACACGGAGAGACATATTCAGTAAATATTACGGAACTCACAATTCGTCACCGATTACGGAACGCTCGGGAAAAATTCCGCGACAGTTCCGTAAAATTTTCTACAACCACATTTCGCCCCGGAATTACGGAAAAAATACGCAATTATTATGGAATATTTCTCCGTGCATAATTTTCTCTTCGCATTTACGAGAAAATGTTTCTTTCACACACAAACCACTGATTGGGTTCATTAGAATTTAATCCAATTTCAACTTTTTTCCCCCAAAACGAAGTTAATTGCCGCGCACAATTCCGTCAAAGCAATTCGGCCAGAAATTTCCCCACTGCAGAGTTGACGTCCCTGATGTACAATAGCGCCTATGACTGGTTTCCCTTTCATCCTACCCCCGCAACTCAATGATGGGACGGGGGATAACTAGTCGATCGGATTTGCCCAGTGTACCAGCATTTTCATGTGCGGGCGATGAAAAATCGAAACCCCCCATTGTCCCTTTAGCGATGATTGTTTTATTTTCTGCTCTTTTTTCTCCCACCTCACTGCGGTATTTTTTTGTTTTCTAATTCTCTCATCATGAATGAAACACAGGGAGAAAAAGGTAATTCAATTTATTCAGTGTCCCCAGGTATACCGAACATCGCGTCCAGCGGATCGATCGAGCCCTCCCATGCAAGCCACGTTGGTGCGTTTTCCAATTTACATTTTCGAATGAAATAGTCCGGTATAGTAGCCCCTCTCCTATCTCCTTTCTCGGCCATTCCCTCTCCACTGCTAAATTTATTCGGTCCATTGAATATATAGACACATTTCATATATCCGTATGATAAGTACACATACGGTGTTGCATTATTTCCTGATGTTCAACTATGGAAACAGGACAATCGATAATATTTTCGTTAAACAGTTGATATAATTATTCAGGAAGAAAAAGTTTGGAAAATTATGGTTATTGCAGTTCATTGAGAAATGTTAATTTGATTACATTGGGAGAAAAATTTCGTAATATATAGACTATATTTACTTGAGAGAAATAAATTATTTTCAATGGCTTACGATATATCTCAAGACAATACCAACCAAAAGTTAGTCTCTATAGATTTACGGAAAAAAATCTAAATGATTTAATGCATTCTCATATTTGATGAAGGCAATCATAACTGTTTAAATCAAATGAAAAACTATTTGTTAGTTGAATATTGCAAAAATTATGTTCTATAAAATTTTCCAAAAAATTCATTTGTTTGGAATTTATGAATCTACCACGGATTTTTTAAAAACATCGTAAGAACCGTTTTTTCATAAGGTGGAAAAATCGAGTTCGGGGGGACTCATAACATTTGACAAATACCTCGTGTGCTACAAACCCGCAGATAATTATTTATTATCTCCTAAACTGTGTAGTACAGCTAGTTAGATTTCTTTTTATTCTGGGAGAATTAAGCGATTGAAGAAAAATTACTTGTCTGAAGTAAATATGTTTGAGGTATTAGAATTTTTTGCCTGACTGTAACAAATATGATGAGTGACTGAAGGGAATTGACTGATTAACATCTCCTTCCAAATGAATTATTCACACGAATCATAATCCATTCATCATCTGTGACAAGTTTACAATAATAACGTTAAATATCCCTTCATTGTAATTCACAAACCGCATGAATCCACAGATAAACGAATATAAAAAATCAAAAACTGTGTCTCTATGAATCATGTATGAACTTAATTAATATTACAACATCGTCGCAATAGAATTCAATAATCGGATTTACATCTTCAATAATATTTCGCATTTTCAATTCAGATGCGATCAGTAGATTAATGAACTCGAGCAAAATCGAGAAAAATTTCCTGTTAACCTTTGAATTTTATTTATTTATTTATCTGACCGTGGTAGTGAATTAAGGAGGTGTTATGTGGCCTTGCGGTCAATGGAAAGACCATTATGCCAATTTAAAGATGAGAATGCAACTCTGCACTGACCACGTATTATGAATTATTCTCTCATTTTTATCTCCTCCCTCCTCTTTAGTGTATTCCTGTTTTATGGCTTTTGCCATTTGTTTCTTTTCACTAAGAACTAAAAATGGAGGATGGGTAATGTTTTAAAATAAAATTCATTTCATCCTTCCATTAACCGCAAGGCTACGAAATACATTCTCCTTTCTCTTGTTTCTTCCCCATAATTTTCATTGAATCCCATCGGTAATTGTAGTGTTAAACTACAAACAGACTATGTATATCTATCCTTCCCTTATAGTTTTGATTAATTCTATTCAATTGAATGTTACGTCGAATTTTCAC